TTGCAACACAGTATTTCCATTCGCAACATCAACAAAGACTGTAAATTACGGGGGGAAAACAATAATGCATACATTACATTACATTGCATTTAGCTGACGCTTTTATCCAAAGCGACTTACAATAAGTACATTCGACCAGGAAGACACAACCTTGAAGAAAACAGAATCATATAAGTACATCAGGTTTCATAGAGCCAAACATTTCAAGTGCTACTCAACTGGCTTTAGATAAGCCAGTCCTTTATTAGTATATAAGTGCTTTGTTAATAAATCTATCGCTCGAAGTGGAGTCGAAAGAGATGAGTTTTCAGTTTGCGCTGGAAGATGTGCAAGCTATCTGCTGTCCTGATGTCAATGGGGAGCTCATTCCACCATCTTGGAGCCAGGACAGCAAACCCACGTGTTTTTGCTGATGGGAACTTGGGTCCCCCTCGCAGTGAGGGTGCAGCGAGTCGTTTGGCTGATGCAGAGCGTAGTGCACGCGCTGGGGTGTACGGTTTAACCATGTCCTGGATGTAGGAAGGGCCAGATCCATTCGCAGCATGGTAAGCAAGTACCAGTGTCTTGAAGTGGATTCTAGCAGTTACCGGAAGCCAGTGAAGGGAGCGGAGGAGCAGAGTGGTGTGGGAAAATTTAGGAAGGTTGAAGACCAGACGAGCCGCTGCATTCTGGGTGAGCTGCAGAGGTCGGATGGCACATGCAGGTAGACCAGCCAGGAGGGAGTTGCAGTAGTCTAGGCGTGAGATGACGAGAGCCTGGACCAGAACCTGCGTCGCTTTCTGTGTCAGCTGGGGACGTATCTTCCTGATGTTGTAAAGCGTGTATCTGCAGCATACATTTTATAACATTACAATTAAGTCCTGTCAACATATACTTGTTAAAGGATTCATCTCCATATTTAATTTTAGGATTGACTGGTGCATAAAAGAGTGTTTCAGTTGAACTTGTGGGATTCTGTATTACTAAATACATGGTAATTGTTTTTTATTTAGCTATTATACTATTCATTGAATAGTATAGGCTAAATACACTGAACAAAAATATAAACGCAACACTTTTGTTTTTGCTCCCATTTTTCATGAGATGAACTCAAAGATCTAAAACATTTTCTATATACACAAAATAACCATTTCTCTAACATATTGTTCACAAATCTGTGATAGTGAGCACTTCTCCTTTGCCGAGATAATCCATCCCACCTCACAGGTGTGGCATATCAAGATGCTGATTAGACAGCATGATTATTGCACAGGTGTGCCTTAGGCTGGCCACAATAAAAGGCCACTCTAAAAATGTTCAGTTTTATCACACAGCACAATGCTACAGATGTCGCAAGTTTTGAGGGAGCGTGCAATTGGCATGCTGACAGCAGGAATGTCCACCAGAGCTGTTGCCCGTGAATTTAATGTTCATTTCTCTACCATAAGCCGTCTCCAAAGGCGTTTCAGAGAATTTGGCAGTACATCCAACCGGCCTCACAATCGCAGACCACGTGTAACCACACCAGCCCAGGACCTCCACATCCAGCATGTTCACCTCCAAGATCGTCTGAGACCAGCCACTCGGACAGCTGCTGCAACAATCGGTTTGCATAACCAAAGAATTTCTGCACAAACTGTCAGAAACCGTCTCAGGGAAGCTCATCTGCATGCTCGTCGTCCTCATCGGGGTCTCGACCTGACTCCGGTTCGTCGGCGTAACCGACTTGAGTGGGCAAATGCTCACATTCGATGGCGTCTGGCACGTTGGAGAGGTGTTCTCTTCACGGATGAATCCCGGTTTTCATTGTTCAGGGCAGATGGCAGACAGCGTGTGTGGCGTCGTGTGGGTGAGCGGTTTTCTGATGTCAATGTTGTGAATCGAGTGGCCCATGGTGGTGGTGGGGTTATGGTATGGGCAGGCGTATGTTATGGACGACGAACACAGGTGCATTTTATTGATGGCATTGTGAATGCACAGAGATACCGTGACGAGATCCTGAGGCCCATTGTTGTGCCATTCATCCACGACCATCACCTCATGTTGCATACAGGGAACTGCTTTAGGCTGGTTTAGGTCCTATCTATCTGAACGCTCTCAGTTTGTACGTGTTAACGATGAATCTTCCACGCAAACCAAAGTTAGCCATGGAGTGCCACAGGGTTCAGTGCTCGGACCTATTTTGTTCACATTATATATGCTTCCGTTAGGCAATATTATAAGGAATCATTGTGTAAACTTTCATTGTTATGTGGATGATACTCAACTATATTTATCAATCAAGCCTGATGAAATTAATCATCTAAATAAAATTCAAGACTGCCTCAAGGACTTAAAAACGTGGATGACCTTAAACTTTTTGATGTTAAACACGACCAAAACTGAAGTTATAGTACTTGGCCCGAAGAATCTATGAAACAAATTATCTAAAGATATACTAACTATGGATGGCATTAATTTGGCCTCCAGTGAGACTGTAAGGAATCTTGGTGTTATATTTGATCAGGATTTATCCTTTAACGCCCACATAAAATCAATTTCAAGGACAGCCTACTTCCATCTACGTAACATTGCAAAAATCAGGCATATCTTGCCTCAAAACGATGCAGAGAAACTAGTCCATGCATTTGTTACTTCAAGGCTGGATTATTGTAACTCCTTATTATCAGGGTGTACCAAGAAGTCAGTCAAGTCGCTTCAGCTGATTCAAAATGCTGCAGCTCGTGTACTAACCAGAGTTAGGAAAAGGGACCACATTACTCCTGTTCTGGCTGCCTTACAGAACACAGGATAGAATTTAAAATTCTTCTTCTCGCCTACAAAGCCCTTAATGGGCAGGCGCCATCTTACCTTAAAGAACTCATTATACTCTACTGTCCTATTAGAGCATTGCGTTCCAAAAATGCAGGGTTGTTGGTTGTTCCTAGAGTCTCTAAAAGTACAATGGGAGCCAGAGCCTTTTCTTATCAAGCTCCACATTTGTGGAATCAGCTTCCAGTTTGTGTTCGGGCGGCAGACACCCTATCCGTTTTTAAGAGTGCGCTTAAGACCTTCCTTTTTGATAAAGCTTATAGTTAGGGCTGATTAGATTCAGCCCCTAGTTTTACTGATATAGGCTTAGTTTGTCGGGGGACATCTTACTTCTTCCTTCTCTCTGTCTATACCTGTGTACTCTCATGTTCCGATTAACCCAACTTCCCCAAATGTCTTTCTTTTTGGTGTCTATATACGCCGGGACACGGAGTCATGGATGATCCTGCGGTCCTGTGTCCTGGATCGCGAGCCCTGGATCTTGAGTCGTGGCTGTGGTCCTGGATCATAGGTCCTGGATGGATATCCTCGTGGATTCATCTTCCTATTATACACACATGCATTTCCAAACATTTGGACTACCTATGTTGCAAATGTATTATCTTTTCAATTTACACACGGCATCTATTGCACGTCTGTCCGTCCTGGGAGAGGGATCCCTCCTCTGTTGCTCTCCCTGAGGTTTCTCCCATTTTCCCCTTTAAACTGTGGGTTTTCTCCGGAAGTTTTTCCTTGTACGATGTGAGGGTCTAAGGACAGAGGGTGTCGTATTGTCATACAGATATTCTGTACACACTGTGAAGCCCACTGAGACAAATGTAACATTTGTGATATTGGACTATATAAATAAACATTGATTGATTGATTGATTGATTGATTGATTGATTGATTGATTGATTGATTGATTGATTGATTACAGCATGATAATGCACGGCCCCATGTTGCAAGGATCTGTACACAATTCCTGGAGGCTGAAAACATCCCAGTTCTTGCATGGCCAGCATACTCACCGGACATGTCACCCATTGAGCATGTTTGGGATGCTCTGGATCGGCGTATACGACAACGTGTTCCAGTTCCTGCCAATATCCAGCAACTTCGCACAGCCATTGAAGAGGAGTGGACCAACATTCCACAGGCCACAATCAACAACCTGATCAACTCTATGCGAAGGAGATGTGTTGCACTGAGTGAGGCAAATGGTGGTCACACCAGATACTGACTGGTTTTCGGACCCCCCCAGACCCCCCCAAAGCAAAACTGCACGTTTCAGAGTGGCCTTTTATTGTGGCCAGCCTAAGGCACACCTGTGCAATAATCATGCTGTCTAATCAGCATCTTGATATGCCACACCTGTGAGGTGGGATGGATTATCTCTGCAAAGGAGAAGTGCTCACTATCACAGATCTTTTCAGATTTGTGAACAATATTTGAGAGAAATGGTTATTTTGTGTATATAGAAAATGTTTTAGATCTTTGAGTTCATCTCATGAAAAATGGGAGCAAAAACAAAAGTGTTGCATTTATATTTTTGTTCAGTGTAGAACCATGTCCTGAATACTATCAGGACATGGTTCTAAGATATTTTAAATTAATTTTCTATCACATACTATACTATGATTTGTATTGCATAATATTCATAATATTGCAGGTCACCCTTGAAAAAGAGATCTTTTGATCTCAAGGGGCTTTCACCTGGTTAAATAAAGGCTACAAACAATTCTGTGTTTTTTTTGTTACAATATTTCTCATTACATATTCTATATTTTGGCTTTCTATTGCATTTTTATGAAACACTATACAATAACCTTTTCACTTAAACACACTTCACTAATATTGTATTACCATATAATGAAATTGTATAACGTTTTACGATATTCAAGTGGGAACCTTCTATCTGTGCCTTTGCCCTGGGTGGAGGAATACATGACGTCCCACTTGAAGTTATACAAGTAGTGGTGATGCATTTAAGTGTTCACCATCAAACTCGTACTTGTGTATATTTTCATACGGAAATAAATGCTTGGAATCTTTATGTCGCAAAATAAATGATATTAGTATCTTCATATTTTCTGTAATATATTTCCATTCATCGCTCCTAGTACACGTTACATTTCAGCTATGGGGAACAAAACATTACTGTTCACAACATTGTTTTAGTCACTTGAAAATAAATTCCTACACTTTGGTCAGTACCGGAAGGCAGCATCACCGCTCTATCAGCAGATGTCAGATGATTCTTGAGCTCGCTCTCCCGTAGCAACATTAAGGGGACTTATCAACGGAGACTGGCAACTGTTGAAACATCTTTTATCAACATTAACTGAGCAGCAACCTATATCCAGACAATGGTAATCATATGTTTTAAGTTAAAGTTGTTAGTGTGCCATGCACTAAAAAGAAAAGCAACAAACTTGCATACTAGCTAGCTAGGTCAGCTAAACGTACCTAGCATGGCTGTTGGCATCACTGTGGCTAATATTAGCTTATGTTCCTCTTTGTTAGCTGCATCGTCTATAACAGTACATTCAATTATTATTTGTCTATGGTGTCAATGTTTGGTACTACTGGCAAATGGTGTGCGTTAAAACAGCTGTCTGGGGGACATTGTGGTTTGTTTGTGTAAGACTAAACTAACCGGCATATGTATTCAATGCTCAGATTCCAGAGTTGTCCAACCCCTCGGTGTGTATGAGGGACCCTCAGAGGGTGGAGGAGATCCTGCAGTCCATGGTGAAGGCTGGCTCCAACACCGTGCAGGTACATATCCACTAATACCAAGTGTTTTCCCTAAATTACACGTGCAATGTGAAGAAGTGTGATATTCTATTTCTATTCCTATTCTATTCAGGTGATCGCAGATTTTGACATGACTCTGACAAGATTTGCATACAAGGGCAAAAGGTGCCCTACATGTCACAGTAAGTGCCAGATGTAGTTTGGGGTTTTCATGCATTCAAAGGTTGGTCTTGGCCAAATGTTGTAGACATTTTGTCTCTGATTTTATTTACAGATATTCTTGACAACAGCAATCTTATCTCCAATGAATGCAGAGAAGAGGTAGGAGTGAGCCTTTAGTGCAAAAATAATTGTTTCCATTTGTAGGACTATTTACAACTAACTTCCAATATATTTTTCTGTAACTGTAAGCCGCTTCGGAGACACAATGCAGTTAATGCACGTTCAAATAGTTAGATATTACAAGTGAAATATATGCATATTTGCCTTTTTTATCTTAAGTGAAAATGCTTACATCTTAAGAAGCAGATTACCTTAGTACAAACAAGCACAATTCTTTGAAATACCCAGTAAGACCAAATATTGCTTATTATTTGGGTGTACTGTATATATTCATTTTAAGAGTGTTTGGACATTATCAGCATTTTAAACACAGAAAGAAACACATTCCAGAATCCCTAGGACAAAAATAAGTTGTAAACTGACAATTATTTCTAATTTCTCATTGGGTAAAAAGCAGTAGTTTCCTAACTGTTACAGTGCTCTAAGTATTGTCCTGTCTCTGTCAGCTGAAGGTTCTGCTCGACACATACTACCCTATAGAGATCGACTCGGCACGATCAATAGCAGAAAAGCTGCCCCTGATGGTGGAATGGTGAGTATCTAACACACCTTTTACTCAAAATATCATATTCCTTACTTTAATGTGTTAATACAACTGAGTCACCCACCTATATGTCACAGGTGGACTAAAGCTCACAAAATCCTGGTGCAGCAGAAGATTAGGAAAGACCTGCTGGCCACGGCGGTGCGGGATTCTGACGCCATGCTGAGGTCAGAGAGAGTGATCCCTCAGAAGACCAGAACATCCATTTAATAGTCTACATGTTGAAAAAGATGTGTATTAACGGTTGCTCTTTCATCAGGGAGGGCTACCAGCTCCTCTTCGACCACCTGCAGGAGCACAGCATCCCCCTCCTCATCTTCTCTGCTGGAATTGGAGATATCCTAGAAGAGGTTATCCGCCAGGCCGGAGTCTTCCACTCCAACGTCAAAGTCTTCTCCAACTACATGGACTTCGATGAGTCTGTGAGTATCCGCGCCTCAAACTACGGTTGACCCCCGCACCAGGGATTGACTTCATGTATTTGCTGCTACAGGGATTGTTGAAGGCTTTCAAGGGAGAGCTGATCCACATCTACAACAAACGGGAAGGCGCTCTGCTGAACACCGGTCATTTCCAGGAGCTGCGGACGCGCCCCAACGTGCTCCTGCTGGGAGACTCTCTGGGAGATCTGACCATGGCCGACGGGGTGCAGGACATGGAGAACATCCTCAAGATCGGCTTCCTTAATGACAAGGTAAATACAACCTGACACACAGCTTTTATACACCACCTGACTCGGGGACAGTTTATCCCACAGGCCATACGACTGCTCATCTCCTGAGCTTGCATTTTGTATTCTTTTTCTGTATTCATTTGTTCTATTTCGTATATGGCTTCGCCCTCTAAGGCTATCGCTATTGGGTTATCCCTCTGCGCCCCCGTGCAGCACTGAAACACTTGTAGTCCACGCCCATCCGCCAGGTGGGCCCCACCCTCGGGCCTCCTTCCGGTATAAATAGGAAGGGTGCCCGGCAATCTGCTCCCTCTTTTCTTCAGCAAACCAGCACAGTTACTGAAGCACAGCCTACCTGGGGTCAGAGCACGCATACGTGGCTCTAAACCAGCAGGTAGCATGCACACACTGCGCTCCCCTCCCCTCGGGCGACAGGAAGCGGAGAGCGGACGCTCTTGCTGCTGTGGCCGAGGAGGACGATTGGCCCGTCCAGGCTTACGAGCCCGCGGACGGGGCCGAGTGTCCCTGGGGCCGAGTGTCCCTGGGGCCGAGTGTCCCTGGGGCCGAGTGTCCCTGGGGCCGAGTGTCCCTGGGGCCGAGTGTCCCTGGGGCCGAGTGTCCCTGGGGCCGAGTGTCCCTGGGGCCGAGTGTCCCTGGGGCCGAGTGTCCCTGGGGCCGAGTGTCCCTGGGGCCGAGTGTCCCTGGGGCCGAGTGTCCCTGGGGCCGCGTGTCCCTGGGGCCGAGTGTCCCTGGGGCCGCGTGCCGGGCAGGAGTCCGAGGAAAAAGGCAACTCCTGCCCCGTCTCCCTCCACAGTTCGGTTCTCCCCTCCCTCCTCTCCCCCGGACGGGGGAGACAGAGTCGGAGCAGGGTGCCAGCTTGGTGGCCGAACATGCTTTCCCCCTCTCCGTCACCACAGCACGGCGGCGAATAACATCGCGCGGCTCTCCAACTCGGTGGGGACACTGGTAGAGCGGTCCACCACCGAGGCAGAGGAAATCAGCAAGGCGGCCAGCACGGCGCTCATTCTGTGCGCGTCCGTCGCTGGCAGGTGAGGATTTCTGCGTGGGTGACACAGATCCAGCGCCACCTTGGGCTGAAGTTAGTGTTAATTTCGTCAGCTATTTTTTTATTTAGTTTTAGTCTTAGTCCTTTGTTAAATTTCCTTTTTAGTTTTAGTCATATTTAGTCACCTTCATCCTGTTTTTATTTAGTCAAGTTTTAGTCGACTAAAAGTCTGAGCATTTTAGTCTTATTTTAGTCGACTAAAACAGTAACTATTTTAGTCAAGATTTAGTCGACTAAAAGTCTGAGCATTTTAGTCTTATTTTAGTCAAAGAAAACTAATTATTTTAGTCTACTTTTTGTCAATGAAAACTGTTGAGTCTTTTTTAGTCATCAGATTATATAGAACATTTCAGTCAAACTAGTCTAGCCAAAACCAATAATTTGTCATTTTAGCAAATATAAATAAATAAGATTATATATTGTCCTTATTTGATGAAAACCACAGGTTGAATGATTAAGAAGCTTTGCAGAGAGTATCTGCTCAGGTTTGTGGTGTTTTTACCTGTGTTATGGCCACATTGCTTCCCTTCTGATGAAACAATGCATTGGCGTTTTTTCTCCGCCTCATTGTAGCAAAAATGGGCCCAAATATCACGTCGTTTCTTTCTCCCAAGCAGTGGTGGCTTAAGACTTTTTCGTTGTCAGTCATTTTGACGGACAGGATCGTAACATTTCCGTCATAATTCATTATTACCCGTCGAGTACACAATTTATCACTCACTCGCACTGACGGGGGGGTATTTGGTTAACGCGAGTGCGACCACTGCTCCCAAGCCCTGTTGTTGCCATTTTATTTTATGTTGAATAAGGTTAGTTAGAGACCATGAGTTAGACCCGAGTCTTCCTGACAGTTCATATTGTGCCGCTGCCCGGTGTAATTCAAATGTACCGCCGCGCGCAGCACAGACACACAGCTGCTGCCCTGCCGCAGCCCCGGAAATGGAACTGCTGGGAGAAAAACTGACTATCAGAGATGTAACGTTATCTTTGATAATATGTGCTACTGGACGCTCCAATCAGCCCGGACGGGCTGCTCGCGCCCCAGTTCCACGCCATGGTGGAGTCCATGAAGACGGCTGCGGAACAGGTGGACGGCATTCGCCAGCATGTACAGCTGGCTCCAGCTGGCTGAGCTGCCACAGCGGCATCAACGCCCGCAGCAGCTGCGGCGTCTACGCCGGCCACAGGAGGCCACAAGCGGAGAGACGCCCACAGCAACCGCCTCGGCGTCAGACTCGCCCTTCGGCGGCTGCAGGGGCTCCGTCCCACGTCTCCACTCCGCCGCCACCCCAGAGACAGGGTCTCCCGGCGGCGAGTCAAAGGGGAGTGAGGCTCCCCGCTCCTGGTCTGCTCCGCGAGAGCCTCCGAGGAAGCAGAGCCGGTAATTAAGCCGGCTGCCACTAATCTGTTGATTAAGTAGACAGCAGGGCTCCCTGCAGAAGCCTGCTGGTTTTAACCTATCGGTTAATAACCTGCAGAGCTCGCGGCATTCCTCTGTCCGAGATACGCCTCCTACACACGGTCATAATAACCCATGAGCGCCGTTTTAACGCCTCATGTGGACAGCACTGCACACACCTCCACTCATCCCCTGAGCGTGTACACGCCTCATGATGACAGCTGGAGTGAAATGCAGCGTGTGGAGGCTTCCTCGCAGCCCTTTCGCGGCTGCCACTAATCTGTTGATTAAGTAGACAGCAGGGATCGCTGCAGAAGCCTGCCGGTTTTAACCTCGGTTAATAACCTGCAGAGCTCGCGGCATTCCTCTGTCCGAGGTACGCCTCCTACACACGGACGCCTCATGTGGGCAGCACTGCACACACCTCCATCCATCCCCTGAGCGTGTACGCGCCTCATGATGAGAGTCGGAGTGAGACGCAGCGTGTGGAGGCTTCCTCGCAGCCCTTTCGCCTCACGGGCAGTGGCGGCGAGGGTAATGGCGTGGCTCGTCACCAGGACGACCATTACAATGCATCACAGAGAAGCCAGAACGGGGGAAAGAGCAGTATTCCAGGTGCCCCCAGCGGCAGCGCCCGCAGCGCCACGGCGTCAGGGCTCGCTGCAGAATTCTGCTGGTTTTAACCTATCGGTTAATAAACTGCAGAGCTCGCTAATTAAGCCGGCTGCCACTAATCTGTTGATTAAGTAGACAGCAGGGCTCGCTGCAGAAGCCTGCCGGTTTTAACCCCTGTTAATAACCTGCAGAGCTCGCATTCCTCTGTCCGAGATACGCCTCATACACACGGCCTTAATAAACCCATGAGCGCCGTGGTAACGCCTCATGTGGGCAGCACTGCACACACCTCCATCCATCCCCTGAGCGTGTACGCGCCTCATGATGAGAGTCGGAGTGAGACGCAGCGTGTGGAGGCCCCCGCGCAGCCCTTTTGCTCTAGGCCCACCTTGGGTTGCCTCACGGGCAGCGAGGGCTCTGGCGTGGCTCGTCGTCATGACGACCACAACACATCTCGAGCATGTGCGCCCGCTCAGTGTTTCTCGGAGTGGCAGCGCGTGTGTCTGATGGACAGATGGAGGAGCAGGCTGATCAGCAGAGGGTACACCCTGCAGTTCGCCTCCCCCCCACCCCCACAGTTCAACGGGATACAGGAGACACGCCTGTCATCCCAAGAACAGTGGCTTGCGCTCCAAGCAGAGCTACGGGAACTCCTGTTGAAAGAGGCTATTTCCAGGGTTCCCCAAGAGGAAGAAAATCAGGGCCAGCTGCCTCCAATCTGTTGATTAGTAGGCAGCAGGGTTCGCTGCAGAGGCCTGGTGGTTATGACTTTTCGGTTATTAAACCACAGACCTCGCGGCATTCCTCTGTCCGAGATACGCCACCTACACACGGTCACAATAAGCCCATGAACGCCGTGGTAACGCCTCATGTGGATGTCACTGCACACACCTCCACTCATCCTCTGAGCGTGTACGCGTCTCATGATGAGAGTCGGAGTGAAATGCAGCGTGTGGAGGCCTCCTCACAGCCCTTTCGCTCTAGGCCCACCTTGGGTTGCCTCACGGGCAGCGGTGGCGAGGACTCTGGCGTGGCTCGTCGTCATGACGACCACAACACATCTCGAGCATGTGCACCCGCTCTCAGAGTGTTTCTCGGCGTGGCAGCGCGTGTGTCTGATGGACAGATGGATGAGCAGGCTGATCAGCAGAGGGGACACCCTGCAGTTCGCCTCTCCCCCCCTCCCCACAGTTCAATGGGATACAGGAAACACTCCTGTCCTCCCAGAAGCTTGCGTTCCAATCCGAGCTGCTGGAACTCCTGTTGAAAGAGGATATTTCCAGGGTTCCTCAAAGGGAGAAAAATCAGGGGTTTTCACTTCCGTTATTTTTCTAATCCCAAAAAAGACTGGGGCAATGAGACATCCTCGTTCTGTCAATATTCCACATGCTGACGATCAAACAGGTGCTGGAATGTGTTCACCAGGACGACTGGTTAACTTCCACCTGAAGGATGCATACTTCCACGTACCCATCATCCCGAAACACAGGAAATTCCTGCGGTTTCTCATTTCAGGGAATATCAGACCAGACAATCGTCTGCCGTTTGGATATTTCCTGGCTCCTCCCATTTTTGTGTAGAGAAGGCTGGAGCCGCTACACAGAGGAGGGATGAGAGGGTGGTTTCCTCTGGACGACCTGCTAGTTGCTGGCTCGCTCCAGGGAGGAAGTCGCTTTACAGACGGTACATCTCGTATCGCATCTGTCAAAGCCTGGGTTTCATAATAAATTGGAAGAAGAGCTGTTCTCTTCCCTCTCAGACAAACGTTTATCTGGAGTGGAATTAAAAACTCAGCCAGCAGCAGAGCGTGCTCTCGCGGCAGCGAGTGGAGAAACTGACAGCTCTCCTCCGGCGTGTCACAACCCACACAGCACTCTCCGTGACGCAGCTGCTCGGCATTGGCGTCAGCTGGTCACGGGGGGGATTCCCCTTGGTCTCTTCCAACTGGGGGACACTCCAGAGGTGCTTCATTCACTGCAGAAGCCTGCTGTTTTAACCTATTGGTTTATAAACTGCAGAGCTCGAGGCATTCCTCTGTCCCAGATATGCCTCCTACACACGGTCATAATAAATCCACGAGCACCGTTATAAAGCCTCGTGTCGATAGCATACACACACCTCTCATCCTCTGGGCGTGTACGCGCCTCATGATGAGAGACGGAGTGGAATGCAGCGTGTGGAAACTCCCTCGCAGCCCTTTTGCTTCATGGGCAGCGGTGGCGATGGCGTGGCACGTCACCATGACGACCATTACGGCACATCACAGAGAAGCCTCTCCCCCCAGCAGTTCCATGGGATACAAGAAACACTCCCGTTATCCCAGGAACAGTGTCTTGCGCGGTTTACTCCCGCTATTTTTCTAAATCTCGGAAAAGAACGGGGGAGTCGCCCCGTTGCTGTACAATCAAACATGTGTTGATTTGCACAGACCACGGCTATGGAAGCAGCCTACCTCAATCGCCAGGGAGGAGTACGATCTGCGCAGCTTCTGAACGCAGCCAGGCGGCTGCTGTTCTGGGCGCGCACACACGTTGCTCTCCATCAGAGCAATGTATATTCCCGGCGAATTTAACCAAGGGGCTCGCAGAACGCAGCAGCCGTTGTATGCGAGGAGTATGGAGACTCAGACCTGTGTCACGCACACTGGCGACTCAGTGGGATTTGGCTTTGGTGTTACGCGCACTAAAGCAAAGCCCCATTTGAACCTGATCAGGTTCCCCTTAACTGTATTCAGCCAAAGTAGTACTGCTCTTGGCTCTATCAGAGAAAAGGGTGAGTGATTTGTCTGCTCTCTCTGTGGCTCCGTCATGTCTCCGGATCCAAGGAGATGCAGTTCAGCTGTTTTACGCCCTAACCCGGCTTCATGCCTAAGGTCATCACAACTCTTTTAGGTCAAGAGTGATCACCCTGGCTGGCTTCTTCCCCCCTCCTTACAGGTCGAAGGAAGAAGCCACATCTCATCTCCTCTGTCCGGTGCGCGCGCTGTCCTGCTATGTGGCGCGCACGGCGGCATTGCGCCGTTCTCAGCGCCTGTTTGTGCATTACAGAGAGCGCTCGATCGGGCAACCTCTGTCTACACAACGGCTGTCACACTGGCTGTGTGAGGCTGTGTCACAGGCATATGTCTCCTCTGGGGTGGAGCCCCCGGAGAATATCAAAGCGTACTCCACCAGAGGAATTTCCTCCTCCACGGCGTTGCACGGAGGAATGTCAGTGGAAGATATTTGCACGGCTGCATCTTGGTCTTCCCCCTGTTCATTTATTCAATTTGATTTGAGGGATGTCTCCCTTTCCTCTCTGACGCACCCTGTACTGGGTGTCCTGTCAGAGTGAGTGACGTCAGGGATCCAGCTGTGCGCCTCTCTCCTGCCTCGCGGCACACAGAGAGCGGCCCTTTTTTCCCCTCGTATGAGAGGGATGTTCCCTTTACTCTGACACACTTCGTATGGAGTGCCGGTCAGAGTGAGTGACGTCAGGGATCCAGCTGAGCGCTCTCCTACCTGGCTGGCACGGAGAGAGCGGCTGTTCCCCCTCTATGATCGCAGGACAAGGTGGGACCTTCGTCTCTACTTTCTCACAGCGGTCGGTATGTATTGTTCCCAGCCTTCACCCCATCAGGAAGAAGATAGACATGTTTTGCTATGTTCCAGGTACGGTGATGCGCCATTACGCATGGCACAACAGGCAGGGGGGTGTTATTAAGCAGGTATGTCTGTGCTTCTAATGCCGGACGGACCCAGTGGGGCGCAGACTACATCATGCTTCGCCCTTAACCCAATAGCGATAGCCTTAGAGGGCGAAGCCATATACGAAATAGAACTGAGGTTACCTACTGTAACCCAGCTTCTATGAGTATTGGCGCAGCCCTCTAAGCGCTGGGCCCCACTGGCTCTACGAATAGCTGAAGAAAGGTTATTTTGTATGGGAGCAGATTGCCGGGCACCCTTCCTATTTATACCAGAAAGAGACCCGAGGGTGGGGCCCACCTGGCGGGTGGGCGTGGATGTGGACTACAAGTGTTTCAGTGCTGCGCGGGGGCGCAGAGGGATAACCCAATAGCGATAGCCTTAGAGGGCTGCGCCAATACTCATAGAAGCTGGGTTACAGTAGGTAACCTCAGTTATGTCTTGTTGTGTATACTGTATTTATATTGCATTGTTGAGGAACCTTTGACCCTAGTTTGTCATTACACAACTACACTGTAGTTGTGAATAGGACATTAACCCTTTGAGATCAAAATTACCACATGGTTACCACTTTATATTTATGACAATCTTAACCTGTTTACATTCAGGGCATTGTGTACATTTGGTTTTCGCACCTTACTGATAATCTGTGTTTACTTGCACTCTGTCTTACATTTCTCCTTAACTGCTACAAAGAATTGTGATCACCTGCTGCTCCGAGATGAACACTCACATTTAACTTCTAAGAGAACAATAAGCATACATTTGTACGAAATCATGTTATTTAATGACTGTATGGTGATATGAATTTGGACACTGGTGATACTAGTTGATGGAGAAACTTTTAAAAACTAAATTTCTCTCTTTAATTGTTTGTATATCATTTTGTTAATGTAGCTTTTATGTTTTTTGAAAATCCACTAAAGAAAGTGTAAAAAAACCTACTGACTTCACATCTCCTTTTTCTCCTCAGGTGGAGGAGAGGAAGCAGTCTTACTTGGACTCGTATGACATAGTGTTGGTACAAGATGAGACCCTGGAAGTCCCCAATGCCATAATGCTCCACCTGACAGGCAATAAGTAAAGTGAGCACTGCTGTTTTCTATTGTACGCTCCAGTGCCATCAGCTGAAGCTCAGAAGGTGCCAGTGGAAGGCTTATTTCGAAAGTTACACGATTGTTTTACAAAACTCTTCACAAGTCCAGTTTACAGACACGGCTCACGTTCACCATGTCACCCTTTGATATTTTCCTCCATTGGCCTTCCACTCATGTTTATAGTCAAACTGACCATACTGTGTGTGATTTGTTTGGTGTGTGGGGGGGGGGGGTTGTGTGTGTGTGTGTGTGTGTGTGTGTGTGTGTGGTTATGTTTTTATTTGGGGGAAGAAATAAGATAATATTGTTTTTGTTGGTGGGTCTGTTTTTGTCTTCATATAGGATGTCATGATAAAGGGAAAAAACGTTACATAAGTGGCAGCATTGGACATCTGGTTTGAAACCAATTCCTTACAATAAGCTCTTTACCAGCAGATACAAACTTGAAACTTGATTTTTTTTTCAAAAGCGTTTTCTTACAGTGTCAAGTCTTCCAGTTTCTGGACTCATTGTAAGTTTACAGTACAGGTTGTATTTGTTATGAACATTTTTACATTTTGCAATGTTTTTGTTAACATTATAAGGGGTTAACTCTGGCAAATACATCAGATTTTAAGCTTAAAATAAATAGTCATTTTTTAAATGTGGTGGAGTGCACTGAAAGGTCAACGTATTTAAAATGACTAACATCTATCTCATAAGTGTTGGTATTAAGATTATCATAACTTAGTGTGTTTACATGAAGTAACCTTCTGTCATTTTAACAACGGTTGATTCAAAAGTGTGCACTGCAACAAACACATTTGTTTTTTAATTCAATAACCAGTTTAATAATTAATTTTTCATATGGATAATAAAATAAATGTAGTTTGATTCTGTCACACATGTCATACCTCTATCTCCTCCATTTCGACACAGTTGTCTGTCAAATCAAACTGAAACATGTATTATGATTGTGTGAAATAAAGTTTCATTTTACTACAAAACTGTTTATTTTATGTTTCACAACACATTTTGATAGAACATTTTATATAACAAACCTTCTGATATTATACAAAAAAGCTACTCCAACGTAATCTGTGTTTTTTCATCATGTTTAGATGAGGCATTGATTTCGTATTTAATAAAGTTGTATTCTGGAAGAGGGGCCCAGCCCAAATGCTTTTTACGGTTTGTAAATGGAAAGATATCAAATTTGCCTCGTTCAACAGAACACAATTTCACTACAGACGATTGTTCTTCCTTTCACATTTTCACACCTGTTTCATGTTCACACATTATTTTAATAAAACCAAGTTAAGTAGGACTGCATTAAAAGGCTCAACAATGTTTCTATCTCCGAAGCATTTTCAAAATAGTTGCAGGACAGATTCTCATATGACGACTTCAGCCACTGCCTGCCTGTTCCTCTCCACCAATACAATACAGAACGTCCCATTTACAGCTCGTCTCGTCTCACTTGTTGAGACTCCCCCTGAAGTTTCAGTTCATCTTCAATAATCTTCCCGTCTTTATTTAAGTCCTGGTTATTGAACATGTCCTGAATGATGGTGTCGGCATCAAACCCTGGCCGCAGACGACCTTTGGCCTCCTTAACCTGGAGCATGATGAAGGCCGAAAACTGGAGGAAACAGGAGATGGTTGTTAAAACATATTCACTGTGTATATCCAGGCTGGATAGATTCAGTTACTCTTACCTCCTCTAGAGGGACCTCTTTGTCACCATTGAGATCCATGGCAGGAAAGAGGGGGTCTGGGCTGTCCCCCAGCCACACAAACATGAAGCCTTCCGGAATACCTTTCTGCAGCTTCACTAGCTCCAGCTCGAAGAAGAGCACGGCGCTCCCGGGAACATCACCAGCTTGGGAACAAAAACAGAGCAGAGGAAATATGAGTTGGGGTAAAAAGAAAAGTGTGTTTAGAGTGAAGTTCATACTGACCTCCATTTTCACCATGTCCCCAGTGTGGTGGAGCGACCACCTCCCTCCTCTCGCCCACACACATGCCTCTCAAACCTTCCTCCAGACCCGGAATCACCATATTCGCTCCGAGAGTCGTGATGGAGGGGGAGTCAAACTGGTCCCTGGAAAAGGACCGATAACTGGTTAAGGCTTTTAACAGTGGGGAGTTAACCTTTATGCATCAGGACATTTTGGCTCTTTCATTTGATTATAATTGTCGATGCGTCATTGATGCATATTGCATATATTTTAATTTAACTGTGTAGCCAACAAAGAGACAATCAGAAACCCCCCCCAATTTGACATACAATTCTTTGATACCCGGGCTTTAAATCATCTCAATCTAAAGCTCTGGCTTTACATTTTTAATTTTTAACTGTTTTCCACAAAATTGAGCTTGTTTTTAATGCTCAGGAATGTTTTGCCTATTGGGACATGCCGCCGTCCTGTTTTAAATTAGGCATATCCCAAACTGTGAAAAAAATCTCCCTGGCATTAAAAACACAGAAAATAATAATTCATCAACAGTGGGATTATTTATAAACTTGCATTTAAAGGGTTACAATTCAGAAAGAAATATTATGATAAAAAACTGAAGTAGATTAAAAGATCTAACTTGAGGGAAAATAGAAAAATAATAATAATTTTAAAAAACACTTTTTTTCCCTCTAAGAACATTAAATCAACTTTTTTTTTAAAGGGATGCAAAGGGTTAAAAATGCTAATTAAAAACCTATGCAGGAATATGTGTTGTAGTCACGGATACATAAATGGAGTTAGATCTGCAGTTCTAGTCCCACAATAAATCGATGATTACATGCATGCAGCAGCAGGGGGGTGCAGTGTAGCAGGGGGTGCAGTGTAGCAGGGGGCGCTCACGAGGAGTACAGCAGGGTGCCGTCCATCAAGGAGCAGTTATAACGATACTGAATCAGATCATCAGCTTCACTGGTCACTGTGCATTCCTGGGGCTTGTGGGTAACTTTAATGTCGACTGTGTCTTCGGGGTTGTGGAAATCTATGACGTGAATGTCGAAGACCAGAACAGCAGAGCCAGGAATCAGGTCAACTGGGGGGGGGGGAAATAAACAGGACTAAGTGGTTTGTTGGTTCATACAAAGTGTCTTTTGATTTTTCTTAAAGGTCCCCTATTATACTGTTTTTCATTACTTTAGAATAGATCTCAGATATATACAAGACATGTCTCTGAAGTGTTTGGCTTGAAATACCAAACGATCATTGTAGCATCCCATAAACTCCTCTGTTTCAGCCCTGTTTCAAAAGTGCTGATTCTCTGTCTGTTACTTTAGATGAAAATAAGGAGCCCCTCCCCACGCCCCTCTGAGAGATATTTGGTTAAAATAAACACAATGGTGCTCTAGGAGGAGATTCAGGTGATAAGGTGGGGGTTACCTTGGTTGGTGATTGGCTAATGGTTACACAAGCCAAAACATCGTTATGACATCACAAAGTGGCCAAAATCGGATCAGCTCATTTTCAGACAGGTTTTTATTAGGGCTGGGACTCGATTAAAAAAATTAATCTAATTAATTAGAGGCTTTGTAATTAATTAATCGAAATTAATCGCATTTTTAATCGCATATACATATTTGACCTAAGAACAGTGAGAAGCAATTTTTTTTCACATGGATTTTAGTATACCATTAGGCACATTCACACCGCAGTACTTTTCCCACAAAGGTTCATGAGAATTGAGTTCATGAGAACTCTTTGAACCTGGGGGTGGATTAGGCAAATGAAGCCGCTGACGTCACTTCTTCTTCTTCTGCTTTGGGTTTACTGGCAGGCCGCAAACCACTTCACGGCGTATACTGCCGCCCAAAGTCCCCGGCCGGAAGTCCCCGGAGTTGGGGACTGGCTTCAGTAGAAGCTGCTGGGAGTCCCAGCAGCCTTCCGAGTAAATCGCCAGAACGCCGACACCTCCTCATCTCCACCGCTCCCATGTTTTATTTTGTGTTGCCATAAGTTAGTCTCTCTGCGTTTCTGCGCTGGGCTAATGCTAATAATGCTAATGCGAGGATAATAAAATGGCGGCTTCACAAAACTTTTTGGGAGTTTTACGGGGCGTGGTTTGCAATCCGCCCAGCCAATCAGAAATATAGCTCTTTTCTCACAAGAGAGCCGTACGAAAGTCCCTGCTCTCTAGCAGCTCTCTGCTCTCTAGCAGGGACTTTCGTCGGGGTAAAAAGGTTCTCATTAACTAATTTTAGTACCGGCTCTTTTTGGTGTGAACGCGATAAAAGAGGCTAACGTCCACGCTAGCTTTCACGCTAGCTGCTATATGTTTTGCATTGAGGTGATACTTGAGGCTTGATGTGCTGCGGTGATATGCGAATTCCTTTTTGCATAATTTGCACACAACCGTGCTCTTATCGACGCTTCCATCCGTCCGTTTTTTAAAACAACATTTCCCACTGTTGTTCACTGTGGTTTGTTGTTGTCTGAAGTCATGAACGTTAGTTGGTGCTCCAGTATAATCGGTACGCCTGAAACTCATCCAGTGAGAAACGTTCCGCTGTGCAAAAATAAGTGCGATTAAAATGCGTTAATTTTTTTAACGCGTTAATTTTTGTGTAATTAATTAATCTTAATTAACGCGTTAAAGTCCCGGCCCTAGTTTTTATATAAATGGATCAGGACAAAAAGTGAGCGACACTTTTTTCCTGAAACTTTCAGAATCTCCCACACAGAGGGGACACATGTTTATACATAAAAGACATGAAAAAGTGGATTTTTTTCATAATAGTTGACCTTTAAACGCATTTGTCCAACTCACCAACTCCTTCCTCGCCGTACGCCATGTGAGGAGGGATGGTAATCCTCCTCTTCTCTCCTATGCACAGCCCATGCAGGGCTTTGTCCATTCCTGGGATCACGTATCTCTTGCCGATGTAAGTGTTATAGGTGCTGTTCCGCTTGTAGCTGTCAAGAGAAGCGTTACACTCGATTATTTTCCAGTTATATGTTTTATTTCTCTCCTGGAAATGGAATCCTATGTTCACCTGGAGTCGAAGGCGGTGCCGTCCTGGAAACTGCCGTTGTAGTGGTAGCGGATGTAGTCTCCAGACACCGTCCTGCGGGTGCAGCCTTCAGGCACCTCCTTCACCACAAACATGAGATCATCTTTAGGGTTGAACACATCCACCAGCAGCACCTCAAACACCAGCGTAGCCTGAGGAGGGACCGAGGTTCCTATTGGAAGAAAAAACAAAATGCGTCTTTATTTCAAATTCTAATTTGGTATGCAGTAGGGGGGAAGTAGTGGAGTACAAATACTTCGTTACTGTACTTGAGTACATTTTTCTGGTATCAGTACTTTACTGCACTACACAACTTTTTACTTTTACTTCTTACATTTTTAACACAAATACCTGTACTTTCTACTTCTTACATTTTCAAAACAGGCTTGTTACTTTAGTTTTAATCTGCGTTTGTTGGCGTGATCATTATTATTTAGAGTCATTGCGTGCCTATTGATTTTAACACGATCCGTGTATCCATCATTTCCTGGTCTTCTCTAAAGAAGAGGGACCAATGAAAACGTTGTCATGTTGCCATTGTTCAGCATTCATTAGTAACAATGACCTTATTGTTCTATTAATATAAAGGGAGGTCAGTTACTCTTTAAAACAGCTGGTAGTTATGGGTACTTTTTACTTAAGTACATTTCGAAGCCCATACTTCTTTGCTTTTACTCGAGTAAAGAAGTTTAGTCAGTACTTCTACTTTTAGTATTTTTAAACACGAGTATCTGTACTTCTACTTGAGTAAAGGATCTGTGTACTTTTGCCATCTCTGTTGGTATGTGAAATGATAAGCTATTAGCCAACTTTAACTCAAGATGATTTATTAGTTAGTACCGTGGCCAGTCTCTCCATACGCCAGGAAAGGTGGGACGATGATGATCCTTCTCTCCCCGACACACATGCCCAAAAGCCCCTCGTCCATGCCTTTGATGAGGTCGCCCTGTCCCAAGTAGGCGTCATAGGTTGAATTCCTTGCGT